ATTTCAGTGTCATTTTCAATTAAATTCCGGGTTCAGTTCAGTTCGGTAAGTTCATGTCCGATCAGTTCATGTCAGATCAGTTCCGATTATTCCGGTTAAGTCCAAATATCATGTCAGGTTCAGTAGAGCATCTTAACATAATTAATCAGTTAAGTTAACAGTCTGAGCATAGTCATTAGTAATTGTTTATGTTAAATTTCAGTTTGATCAGGTCAGGAGTATCAGCACTACCTTTACTTTCACGGATTAGGTGGGGACTCAGACTAAGTACTACATTGATTATAATTACGGTACCATGTTTGAGGTATGTATTTCATGTCATGTATCCGCTCGGAATGGTCGCCGGTCCATTCTGGGTTCTAGTGGCTTTAGTCTGCCCACTAGAGTGTGCACATGGTGTCCGACATTAGTTTGTGCCGGCAGATGAGGTAACGGTCATGGTTCACGTTCACGTGATGATATCAGATTCATGTTCATGTTATTACCGGTTTCATGTTCAGGTTATGTATATGCCAAGATCATGATGTTGTTATTATTTTCAATGTTTACATTAGTATGAGTTTCCACGGAGCACAGTGTTATAGTGCTCACGACCCACTTTTATCATGTTTTTCAGGTCAGGATGTCGGGCCGGGAGCGTGAGATGACGGAGGCTTCAGGACTTTTATGTTATGACTGTATATATATTTTGATGATACTACGTTTCCGCTGATTTTGATGTTTGCCGAAACCATCTTTTGATCAGACTTTCAGAAATTTTATACTTTCAGTAAACCGTAGATTTTGTTAAAAATTTAAATAACGGTTTTTCAGAATAAGTCACGTTTTACGGTAGCACCCCAAATCAGTTTTAGCAAATTAAAAGATTTGATTTTTAAATAACTTTGCGAAATTTACGCACTCTGATTTCACGATAAGGCGGGGTGTTACAAAAAGTCATCAAGAATATTTCATAAAATATTAAATCTTGAAGAAGACTATTACTACCCAATATTGTATTAATAAAAATAAGATTAATTATGTGGATTGGTTAACAACTCCAAACCATCATAATTAATTTATTTTTATTAATATTTAATCTTCAATCATATTAAAGATAAATAA